TCTCTCCTTCCTGCTTCAAAGGTGCTGCAGCTTCTGCAGGTTAAAGCCACATTCTGAGCATTAGTGACGTCTTGGGGAGATTAACTTAAATTCTCCCTGTTGAGGCACACACATCTCAGTTCCCAAAGGCTTGTTCTCACACAGCCAGCCATGGTTTGGTGGTTTGGCTCAGGGCTGCTGTCCCTGACTTGGGGAAGGCCACCAAAAGAAGGGAATTTGTCCACATCCTCCTGTGCCAACAGAGCAGGGCACCCATGTTTGTGCTTTTATCCCACAAGAAAATGAAACCCAGCATATTTTCCAGATACAGAACACTTCACCTGAAGGGCTCCTAAAGCGATTCACTGACAGAAATAATGCCCTGGGACGTTTGGAGTAGAGCAAAAACCCCAGGACGTGGCATCTGATTCACTGGAAGTAGGAGCTGCCGAGGGTGGAGTTCAAGCCTCTGGGATACAGACAGTGCTGAGGGGTGACAGGGGATGGCAGTCCTGCCAGGAGGTCCCTGTCCCTCAGGTGACATGCAGAGGGCTGCTCTGCTCCCTGGAGGCACCATGTGCAGAGTGGTTCCGTGCTGAGTTTGCAGCCCTGATCCAAACATGTGGGAAAGTGGGCAAAAAGAACTGCCATGAAACCCCTGAGAACAGCATCAGGATTTCCCGGAAAGCCCTTCTCTTTTACTGATTCACCATCATTTTTAAATGCAGGTTTTAAGCTTTCTTCAGAGTCTAATTAAGGCCCCAATCAGTTTACATGATGAAAAACTTTCCCAACGCCAGCATATCAAACACACAGAAGCAACAGTTCTGCTCCTCTCAAAGCAAGCCCGACTCGCCTTTGCTCGTGTGAGGGCACCATGCTGAGTAAAAAGGAAAAATCACGTTCTTCATCAGCACTTCACAGTGAAATTTAAGTTGTCAGCTCCTCACGGGAAATCCTGATGCAACACCCAGCCCGTCCCTGTGAAGCGGAGCTTGGTGAATGTTTAATTATGCCTCGGAACAAACACACATCGCTGCGTGGGGGCTGCGAGGAGCCATCTGAGCCTGCATGCTAAGCTGCTCTGTCCCAGAAGCAGTTCCTTCAATAGCATTTGCTTATCAAAAATAATTAGAGGTAGGAATGCTGGAACTGCGATTATGAAACAAATGGTAAATCTATTTGCTGAGATGAAATGTATTGAAAGATACATTGAGACACAGCTGGAGACTGAGGTGATACCACAAGGATAACAACTCGAGATCCAATTTCATCTTTCATGATTAAAAAATGAGCAAGAAAGTGTTTTATGAAAAGTGAAGGTTAACAAATGTTCCTTCACAAGCAATGACGACAGTTTATCTTTTGAAACAAATGATCAGGCTGTGGTCTGCTCACAGCTCCTGGAACACGCTGGAAAGATTTCTGCTGAAAACCCACGGGGGATCAGCACACACGGCTGGCAGCCCACCCTGCTCCCAGGGCCTGGGACAAAGCCAGCTCCAAAGGGACGCTGCCACAGCAGGGAAGGGGCTGGCACTGCTCCTGTCCTCACCCTCTGCCCCAATCCCTGCAGTGGCTGTGGCTCATCGACACCTGCCCTCAGGAGGGTCCCAGAGCTGCAAACTGACAACAAAATATTCCAGGAGCCCTCTGACTGAATTCCTCTCACTGTTCTCCAGGTAAAGTGCTCCCTTTGTGGTGCAACCACAGTGTGAAGTATGAAAAGTTATTTTTAGGGATGAATTCTGCTAGAATTTGACTAGTAGACCAAACACTGTGAGCTGTTTAACAAGGAGGAAAAAATGTGGGTAGAGACTCGAAAACCACTAATGTGAACGAATTATATAATGATGGGAATGGTTAATTCTCTAAGAAGAAAAATTTAAATTACCAGGAGGGAACAGACAGTAGAGAAGATCGTGATGGCAACTTTAGCTCCTTCTATTAATAGAACTAATAGTTAAAATGGAGAAAGAAAGAAATATTATGTGTAGAAGATAATACAAGATGTTTTAAAGTAAAAAAATTGCTTTATACTTCTATAAATATGGGACTGCATTGCAATGCCTTATTCCTATCCTAGAAGCCTGAAAAGGTTCCTTAGCATCAGGGGAACAGATCCCAGGAGTTCAGCAGAACCCCTCAAAAAACCCCAGTGTAAACTAAATTTACTTATTTGTATGAATACAAGCCATGATAGCTGTAAAGCTGCCTAAACAGCTGAAGGCTAATTAACAATGCTGTTACAGAATTAATGTTATTCCTTCCTAGCTGAGTCCTCGACAAATTTCCCAGGATATGACAATTCTACTGCTCTTCCTAACAAAAAGCAGTCAAAGCTCCAACACCCTAAATTCAGATAAAGAGAAAATTCTTAATGTACAGGCCACATAAGTCTTCACAGTTTAACCATGTGGCACAAATAGCAGCAGACTTCCCCCTTGTCAGGCCAGGAACTATTCCAACCTTAAAAAGGGAGACAGAGGTGTTACAAGGCACCTTCCAGGCACAGAAGTTTGTTCCAGGGACCACGTTTAACTGGTGCTGTGACAGAAGCTGCATGGCCATGGTCAAACATGAGTCCTAACTGTTGCCTTCCATGGTTCATGTCATTAATTGCCCTCTCTTCACAAAGCTGGGACATGGGCCACTTCTTGGAGTCTGCAATGCCTGGCTTCTTTTCCATCTCCAGCACAGGCTTCTGGTGTGCCCCAGAAAATTCACATCATCTAGGGGCTGGTGAGGAAAATCACAGGTTAAGCTTTTCCACCTTGAAGCAGCATTCTTGGGATAAACCAAGGAAAGAAAGAAAGTGCTCTACAACTCCAGTGATAAAAAGGTCCTTCTAAACCTAAGAGCATCAATACTGCTGTCCTTTGGCACTTTAACATGTCTGATTTGATGCCACACATTATTTTTGTTATGAAACTAGACTAAACCAAAATCAATACGGTGCTTATTAAATGGACAAAACATAGGGGAGCCCACAGGTCTCAAAAAGCAAATGTAAATTGGAAACACTGTCCAGCTCAGTATTTCTAGTAGGGTTCTGCAACATATAGAATAAAGCTGAATATCTATCTTCAGGGTCAAATAATAAAATAAAAATCACAAACACCACACTTTTTCAAGACCAGAAATGACAAAATCAAGTGATAAATAATGAAGTGGAGGATGACAGATGGAGAGACCTAGATCACTTGGCAAGCTGAGTGCAAACAAGATAAAGAAAAGATAATGTATGAACAAGATAAAGTACAAACAAATACTTCAGAAAATAATGCAGCTATTCTTCCTGGAAAGAAAACTATTCCTGGAAGTGTCTCTCCTGAGAGATTTTGAGGGTCCCTGTGACAGTATCTAGCATGACCCAATTGTGATACTGTGATGAAAGGCTTCCTCAAAAAGGGAATATCAAGAACTGAAATATTCTTCACTGACACATCAGAATTATGTCCACAACACAGAAATAGTATAGCTGAGCTGAAGAAGGAGGACCAAAATGTTAATTTGGGGGTGGAAATCTCTGTGTTGAATTTGAACTTTCTAGAGCTCATTTCATTTTTGCTTAGCACTGACTGACAGAGTTAAGGATGCTTCTGGGGCAAGTGACTTGTGACATTAGTAAATATTCAGTTTTAAGGAAGGTACAAAAATGATTTCATTATAGTGGCGATAGTTAACTCTTTAACTCTTTCCTTTCACACCCTTTCTATTTTCCAAAGGCTGCTTATCTTGTCTTTTCCACCTCAGATGTGCTCACCCTTACCCAAGCTCCTCCTTCCTCACTTAGATTTTGGGGACACATCCCACCTAACCAGAGGTGCAAGTGCTGCCTGTGGGGGATATTTCATGTGTGCCCCGAAGAGTTTCAGCTCCAAAACCCTCCTGTGGGCAGGATGCTCTTGTGCACTGCTGGGCTGAAGGGCAAGGTGACAGCTCCCACATGGCAGCTGATAGACTCAGTCCTTCTGTTTGGCTCAGCACTTCATCTCTCATCTTTAGAAGGAGAAACTTGTTTGTTCAAGTTTACTAAGGAAATATTTACTGAAGATTTTCAGAAATATGTTTTACATTGAAATACATGAAGCATCTAAGCACTGACACTAATCTGGGCAGCCCCTGAACACTGCAAGGTTAGAAAGCATTTTACCTCCCTATCTTACAGCACTGTGTTGGGCTTGTTTTGCTTCAGATGTTTTACCGGTTAAGCTTGCCTGGGAAATGCTATCAGTGCTTGAGGAAAAATAAAAGAAAACACACACATTAGCTGGAGATCAAGTACATTCTTCCAAAGGAAAAACAAATCAAAACTCCGAGTGTTTTGCAGTGTGACCCTTATAATAATGTTTGCATTAGGCCGGCTGTCTTATTAATATTCATTTATGTTTGCATAAAGTATTTTGCACAAAACCCCCACACATCAGGCAAAAGATCCCATGAGTTGTTATGTATTGCAGACACACACTGACAGAATGGTTCTAACTCCAAGCTAGTGATGGTCTCTGCTGATTTCCTCAGACAGAAACATTTTTTGAAGTTGATCCGTAATTTTTAAGTTTTGCTGTGTTTAGTTAGGAAAGAGACAAGAGCCCCTTGGGAGCAACCTTACTCAAGACTAGAAGTCTGTCTAAAAGCTATGGCTAAAAAGGAAAAGGTAAAGGTTTGGTCAGGTCTCAGTCAATATGCAGGAGTATAACATCAGAGATATGCAAGGAGAATTAAGAGTTTTTCCTAACTTACTCAGCAAGCAGTTTGTTCTTGCTGGTCCATAATAATAATAAAAAACCATGACCTCTGCCTTGTATCATCACCTAAAAGCAGGATTTCACCTCCCAGACTACAAAATACGCTGAGTGCAAGTAAAAAGCCCTGCCTAGACAGCGGAAGGAACTCCAGTCTCTTCGGGGCAGGGCTGGCCATGCACAAGCACACATTTTCACATTTTTAGGAAGCCAGACAGCCGGCAGCACGCCGAGAGGCTTCGGGAAGAGCCCACAGTCCGTCCCTCTATTTACCTCAGGTAATCTCTGCGGCAGAGAATGAGATTTGCTTTTGTGTAAAGAGTTGATCCAACCTCTCCAAGACGACAGTCGCAGCAGGCACACTTTAGGCAGTCTTCATGCCAATACTTATCCAGGGCCTTCAGCAGGTACCGGTCCTTGATCTTTCGGTTGCAGCCGGCGCAGCCCTTCTGCTTCCCCTTGGGCTGTACGGAGAGCATCGGCACGCCTGCAAGGCAAACACAGCACTTCCTTCAGAGCACAGTCTGGGGGCAAACACTGCTGCTGCCATCTCAAGGAGCTCACAGTCAAAGGAAGCTCACATTGCGTGGAGCTGACAGTCAAAGGAATCCTAACTTCATTTGCTGTCGCAGGCTAACAGCGAGTTGACACTTGTAGCCCTTTTTGCTAAGGGCAGGACTGACCCAACGCACCAGACTCTTCCTAACCAACATCTTGCAGCAGAATAAACTGGCTGAAATTTCAACATTTATTTTTTTCCCCTCATTACCTGTACCCTTGTGTTGTTAATTACCTGCCACAGGCAATTAAAAAGAGCAGAAGGGCCATCACAGTATGTACCCTCCTGATTCATCATCTGAGTCGATTTTGATGGGAAAGGAGAGGAATGGATATAAAAAGATGTGGTATGCCACTGTTTTTCCTCTCTTGTGAATCCTGTGGGTGACAGAGGCCTGACTGAAAGCCAGAGCAGGCCAGGGGCTGCTCCAAAATAAATTTGATTCAAAAGCCCTTGAGAACTGCTGAGAATAACCCCACCAGTGCTCCTCTGCCACTAACGAAGCCACATTCCTTAAGCAAAGCAGAGCTTTCCTCCTCCTCTTGTATCACTGGAGAAGGCAGCACAAAGCCAGGAGTTTCAACCTTCCTGGAAACCCCTGTTGGGACTGCAAAGCAGGCATGAGATAGCTGGGTATGAGGTGGTGGCAGCACACTCAGCTCAGGAGGCTGCGGGGGACTTGCTGTGGTCACCTTCCCTTCAGTGCTGTGTCCAGCTTTTTCCTTTTCTCCAAGCAGCCAGTGCCTGCCATGGTGAGCACTGTGATGCCTGTCACCCTTCTCAGTTTAAGAGCCAGGTAGGAAAGGACTTTATGGAATCAATAGGCAAGGTGGAAAAATAAACAAGGATTGTACTGTGGGCAAGGGACAGGACAGGAAGCATGAATGAAGAAATTAGCTAACTGAGATGCCAGAATTCCAATTGCTCTAGAGCCTTGATTCAATTTGTTATGATTTTTATTTTTACCGGTGTCGGTCACTAAAAATGACAATGCTGGGCCTGTAACAAGCACACTTGGGGCTTAACCAAAGCGGAGATGATGAGAAGGGACACTGTGGCACAGCAGCAGGTGTCACTGGTTATATTCTCTTACACAAAGTTAATCCACCCTTTCTGCAGGAAGTGCTGGATGTCCCAGAAAGCAACAGCTTGACAATAGAATTATTAACAGTCCCTTAATCAGAGAGGACCCAGCCAGTGCCACGGCAGTAAGTGACATTTGCTGGCCTCCTTAAAAGCCAGGGTGACCTGAGAGTGGCTAATGGTCAGCACATGTAAACCCACCACTCCCACAGTAATAATTGCTTTGTCAGAGCCCGAGCAGACGACAATAGCACTTAAGACACCTCTACACAAACACTGAGGTATTGATCCATCTGTAATCAAAGTGGTCTCAGCAGCACAGACAAGTAACATTCAAAAACCCTTAAAGAACCCTCCTGCCCTCTGCTGCAGCACACTCAAAATCCAAGTCTCTACAAGCAAACTTTTGACACCATTGACAAACCTGCAATAACTAAGTGAAAACCTGTATCTGTATTAGACTGCCACATATGCAACCTGTAACACTCCCGAGAGAAATTCTACAAAGCCACAGAGAAACACACACACATTTGGAAAGAGGAACAAGACAGGCAAGCATCAGAAGTGGATTATGCTGCAGCTCAGACTGCAGAAGTCTCATGTGCCTGGTGAGAGCTTCTTATGAGAATGAGGGAAGCGGCCCTGTGGTTCTAGACACACCTCTGTTTGTTTGTTTGGGTTTTTAAAATCCAAAATACATTTCAATAGCAAAAAGAAGCTTCCATTTTCAAGTAATTTCCATGCTCTTCCCGACTCCACTCCAGGAAAACTGCACATTGTGAGAAGAGTCTGCCTTGTTGTGAGGCAGAGAAGGGTGAGCACGTGAATTTGCATTTGCAAGCTGTGTAAGATCAGTACCAGTGATGAAAGAAAATAGTTCGCACCTATGAAAACTAGGACCTAGATGTGAGAATTATGTTTTTAGACAGGAGCCCCAGACACCAGCAAGTCATTATTCACCCCTCAAACAGGCTCTCTAAATGCGTACCCTTAGAGGCAGAGGAGGATTTCTCACAAGAAGGGGGGTCATCATACAATCCTTTTGCAAGGTTTGTGTAGGTAACAGGAGGATCTGGCATCTGCAAAGACACAGATTCCACATAACCAGCACACCTTAAACTCAAGAGAGCTGCTGCATGGATGGGGTTAGAAATCAGCTCTGTGGTTCAGAAACACAAGATCCTCAGCCAGATGGGACATCCCAAGGTCTCACTTTTGAAAGCAGCGCCCTTTCAGAGGTACAGCTGCCCTCACCCATAGAGAGGGTGCCAATGCAGCAGCATCATCAAGCACAAGGGCAGTTGTGCAGGGATGAAACCCTGGCTGGACCATTAGGAGAGCATGGTTTGATCATTTAGGGCAGTTTAGGAGGGTCTCCCGTGGCAAGCAGGCCTGGATGGCTGAGGGCTGACTGCAGGGGCAGTTCTTGTTCCATCTGTGGCCCTCGGTCTCCTCAGCCATCTGAGCTCCTCGCTATTGCAAGAGCACCACTGTCTTATGAGAGGCTTCTGCAAGTAAGGGGAATGTAACACTTTGATTTGCTTCTAATAACTAGCAAAGGAACAGATATAGATATATTTTTAAGCAGTACCTTAAGCAAGGAAAAAAGCTATGTATTTGGTCAGCGTTCAGCAGGGGGCTTTCTAATGAAAAAAGGTACCATTTCAGAGATCATATGATGTTCAAAGCTGCTATTCCCACTCAGATAATAACGAGCAAGGTCAGCCTCTGCTGGTCAGGTTCAGTGTTTTGAAATTACATTTTGGGCTGTGAGGTTTCCCTCCGACATCCCAGCCAACCGGTCTGCACGGAGCACACAAGCCACTACAGAAAGTTGCAGCTGCAATTAGCTGGTGAGTTGACACAGCAGGCAAGGCGTGAAACAAAATTTCAAAAACTGCCAAACTTGATCAGCAAGGGTTCCTGGAACACTTGCCATGTCATTTCCAAGCAACAAGAGAGCAGCACCTCAGAAGCTTAACCCTTTTCACAGTTAGAGGCTTGCACAGAGAGGACACAATCAACACCAAACCCTGCTTTCTTCCTCCTGCCTCCCCCTTTCAGCAGACCTGAAGCAGCCTGGGCTCTGTAGGAAGAAACCACCTGGAGAACTGCTCTTTCTTTTTGATAATTTCCCCACTGCAAGACTGAGATGCTGCTTCATTTCTCTATGTCCTTTTCCCCCCAGTACTTGACTAAACATGCCAAGATACCCAGTTCAATTTGATAAGGGGCATGTAGTGTCTAACTGGGGCTGTCAAGAAACAAAGGGGTCACCTTCGACAAATTCCACACGTGCTCTGTGGACGAGGATAAGAAAATGAGAAAGAGTGTTGCCGAACTAGAAAAATTAACAGCTGGATGCTCACATATTTAAATACGTGATCACAAGGGAACACTGATTATTGCCAGATTCTGAAAGTACCATCAAGTTGCTCTCTTCTCTCCTGTTGCTAGACATCCAGTGCTCTCTTTTCTTAGAAACAGTAGATGAATCCTTTCTATTTCTGGCTACCTACACTCCCGTCTTTGCCCTTTACAGCTTAATAGACTTGCTGCTGGTAAATACAAAACTAAACCCGCTCTGAGTGCTCAGAGCTCCAATACACATTAAAAAATTATAGACACCACCTCTGGACTTACTGAAATTTATGTCTGTGTCTAAAGAGGCTGTTATTGTAGTGAGTAATCCAAACTTTACCACTATTCACAGCCGGACAAACAAGCTTTAATCAGCCTGTATCTGCTCAGTCGGAGTCTTTCTGTAAAATGATTCAGCTGGCTTTATAACACAAGTGTCCACTAAGTACACCTCTAAATTTTTCTAAGCCATTTTACTGATATTTCTATTCACATGGCAATCAGCTGCAGTTCCTCTAAGGGCACTGTTCATAAAGCCTCCTTTCCAAGAGAGCCTGGGAACTTTTCATAAATGGCAGACCTTTTAAATAACAGTTATCTGCACTGGTCCTACGGCGCACGGCTCCACAGTGCTCTGGTCTGCAGCAGAGCTAGAGGTACCCTCTGAAAGCAGGGAAGTTCACCACCTAATTTCTCTAATGCAACTCTAAAGGTTAATTGGTCTGAAAGAGTAATGGGGGACTGCTAGCTAATGATATATGCCTCAAGGCTTTGCAGCTTGCCTGTATTTTATACAGTCGAGTCCAGAGCATAAAACACAGGTGATATCACCAGGACTTTTCAGACCCCCTCCGCTCCAACTTGACCCCCTGGGCTACACCCACATGTGTGGGGAGAAGGCAGCAGGGGCTGGAGGCAGCTCTGTTCCACCTGCATCGCACGCCTTGTTAGAGGGGGCTCGGAGAAGTGCGCGGCTGCACTCCTCATTACCTCCGCGGAGAACTAAAAACAGCCCTAATGAGGAGAGCCGGAGCCGGCAGGACGGGCTGGGAGGAGGGACGTCCTCCCACTCTCCCCGAGGAATCCGGCCAAAATCTTCAATTTGCCATTTATGACAGCTAATTAGTTATTCTATTCAAAAATCTTTGCTTTAAATAAAAGAACTAATTATACACAAAGGTCAGTCCCCCACCTCCTGTGAAGCACACATAATTGGCTTATTTCCCCAACATTGTGTGTATGTTTTACACAATGCTTTCAGGCAGATGGCTTTAACTCTTTCCCTCGACAAGTTTTTTGGTGTTGGCTTTTTTGTTGTTGCTAGGCTTTTGTTTGTTTGTTTGTGTTTGTTTGGGTTTTCTCGTTGTTGCTGTTATTTTGTTTTGCTTATTTTACAACCCCAAAACTTTTCCTCAGAGTACCTTTTACTTTAAGAGTAAAAGCTTGTTCAACAACAAAGCAAATAACTATGCACACACACACAC